TATTTATTTCTTACTGTGTCACAGTATCACAATACAAAGGATACAAATTTTTGCTGGACTGGGAAACACAGAAGTTAGATTTAGTTCCTGCCCTCAAAGAATTTACAGAGTAGGGGGACCCACTTCTGAACCAGCAATTAAGTCTTTAACATCTTTGCATTAAATTCTGCAACACTGAATTTAAAACAGGTTTTTCACAGAAGCAGTTCTGTTTTTACAAACTGTTCCCATGCTCAAAATTCCTCATATTATCAAGTTTCTTGAAAGCCATGCGTTCACGTTTAAGTACAAGATATATCAGGATTCATATTTTTTATTTTATAATATTTTTCCAATTGTTCTGTTTGAGAATTTGAAAATATACGTTGCAAAATTCCTAAAGAATTAGCAGGGCTGACATGATTCCAATGTGACTTCCCATGCATTGCGCAATGTTAAACCACTGAGTTTGAGAGATTTGAGTGGTAACCCCTTCTGTGTCTCCAGTCATGGTTTCAGTAGCATTTGGTTAACCCACTTGGGTTAACTCGGCCTCTGTTTCTTCACCTGAATAATGGGCATAGCTATGGATTCTTACAAGGATCAAGTGCTATCTTGTAGAAGTTCCGTGAAACAAAGTAATGCCATAACAGGTTTAAATTCTGAAATAAATGAGAAGCATCATGATTTTGGCAACATGTGATACCAAAGCAGCCTAACCTCCACGCATGCTGGAGTCATTCACACACCTTGACTTTGAATGAGTCTTTGAAGTAAATCCTGGCTTTGACATTCACAAGCTGTGTGGCTTTGGGTGGTGATTTATTTAACAGCTGTGAGCTTTGGTTTCCCTCTTGGCGCAACGGGTATGGGACTAGCCTTTTCCTTATAGGATTGATTATAGCAAAGGTGCTGGTTGGGATGGTAACATGATGCCGTTGATGGTAATGACTCACTGTCATTGTTTTTTGGCGGGTACCATGCTGTGCACTCTACACGCATCACCTTCTAGTGTTCTCTGTGACCCCCTATGGCAGGGACGCTTATAATCTCATTTGTTTTAATGGAAGGGAAGGAAAACGAGGTGTATTGGCATTAATTAACAAGTCCAAGCGCACCTAGGCAGGAATTCGCACACCTCGGACTTCAGTGTTGACTTGATGGACTTGTAACATGTACTGTGTCTCATTCTCTGTGTTTATTGCTCTCTGGCGACTTGAACGGCATTCTCTTGTATGAAGATTAAAAGAGATGTAGTACGTATTTTGCTCTTATTTTGCTCTTATCTGTCAATTATAATCTTTATTCCGTTACTGTTATTCCCTTTAACATTAAGAACCATCGGGAAATGACTAAATTATTTATTCTCCTCTACAGAGACACAAAGGTGAGCAGTGCCCATACCAGAAATGATGAGGGATGACAAGATTGCTATAGTATCTACTAAAAGGCAGAAATGCATTCTTCATTTAGGTCTAAGTTTGAAGTGGAATTAGGACTTGCAGTCAGTTTTTTTCAAACAACTAGCTTGTATTTTTTTTTTTAATGTTTCATTTATTCTTAGAGCGTGAGCGGGGGAAGGGCAGAGCGAGAGAGGGACACAGAATCCGAAGCAGGCTCCGGTCTCCGAGCTGTCAGCACAGAGCCCGACGCGGGGCTCGAACTCACGGGCCGTGAGATCACGACCTGAGCCGAAGTCAGATACTTAACCAACTGAGGCCCCTCGGTGCCCCAACTAGCTTGTATTTTGAACACATATCATGAAGTCTGTAACACCGTCCTCTGTGGAGGTTCAGTTAGGAAAGAGAATGGGTTGTTGAAACACGATGCTGTACCAGTTCATTTGAGAGTGAATGATGCATCCAGTAACTATTTGTGAATTTGGCGGTATGCTGTGAAATAACCAATTTGTCCGATTTTATCTTTGAATTAATACTTGTTTTGGCTTCAGGGAGATGTGATGCATTGGAAATTGCATATTATCTGTGGCAAATCTGACTTGTGGGCTTTTAGTTAACACCCGACTTCAAATTGTTAAGAGAGAGAATTCTCTCTCTTGGGTTTTTTCTTTTGACACGTTTGCCTTTGAGAATCACGTGTGTCCTCGCGTTCGTGGTGCGCTACGAAATGCCTCCTGATGCTCCTTGACCTACAGCTTCTGCTGAACATCACACTCCTGAAGCAGTGCTCAAGCCATTGGGTCCTTCCTCTTCCGGGCCGTCGGACCAAGACATCTCAGTCAGACTCCTGGCCTCGCTCCCCAGATACGGCCCTCGTGTGTCCTCCATCCTTCCAGTTGCTTGGACCGTGGACTTTTAAGTCATCCCTGACTCCTGCCTTCCTCCCACATTTCATTAGTCCCTCCTTAGCAAATTCTATTAGCTCTATGTTCAAACTATATCTAGGATTTAGTTCTTAGCACCCTCACTGTTACCGTGTAAGTCAGAACTCCATATATTACCACCTGGGCGAGGACAGCAGCTTCCTACCTTGCTTTCTTGCTTCTGTCCTTGCTTGCTTCCTTAGTTGAGATGACATTTGAGACTGAAAGTCAGAGCATGCCACGACTCTGCTCAAAATTCCACCAGCCCCAAATCTTACGAAGAACAAAATCCAGAGTCCATCTCTGGCCTCTGAAGTTGCACATAATCGTGGCTTTGGCTCCTTCTCTGGTTTCCTCTACCACTGGTCCATTCGCTGCACGAGCAGCGTTACTTTTCCTTAATTATGGCAGGCGGGCACACTGCCTCGGGACCTTTGCACTGCCTGTCCACTTGGAATGTTCTTTCTCTGTATATGCCTCCGCCTGCTCCCTTACATCGTCTGGCCCCCTGGTTGAGTGACTCCTGGCAGAGAGCCCTGTGAGCACCCTCTGAAGTAGCATGTGTCTTCTCCCATTGGCCTCATGCTCCATTTCCTGGTCCACGTGTTTTTCCACACTGGTTCTCCAATTTTCCAACGCCAGTGGGGTATTCAATCCCATTCAATTCTGATGCTGACTCCTGGAGTTAGCACAGACCCCACAGGCTAAGCAAGGGCTCTACCCAACAAGACCAACCGACCGCACATGCCAACTGCAGATGGGATACTAGGGCTACCCACACTTCTGCCTGCTGACTCCGAATTTGGGGCTCCCCCAGCCCCCTCTACACGGCTAGTAATTTGCTAGAACAGCTCAGAGAACTCAGAGAAGCACTTTGCTTGCATTTACCAGATTATTGTTAAAGATGTAACTCCAGAACAGCCAAATTGAAGAGATACCGAGAACAAGGAATGTGTGGAAATTCCATGTGCTCTCTGAGCCCGCCACACTCCCAGCACCTTGATGTGTTGACCAATCCCAAAGCTTCCCAAACCCTGTCCCTCAGGGGCGTCTAGGGAACGTTCGTTATGTACGCATGGTTGATTAAACCGTTGGCCGTTCGTGATTGAACCCACCCCCGCCCCCAGAGGTGGAGAGAGAGGGTTCCAAGCACAGCCTTCCAAGCACAGCGTTCCACGTGGTTGCTTCCTCTGACCCATCAAGAGTCACCTCATTAGCATAAATTTAGGAGCTGCTTATGGATAATAGAAGAGGCTCCTAAAACTCGGGAATTTCCAAGGCTTCTGAAAGCTCTGTGCCAAGAACTGGGGACAAAAATGAAATCTCTGTTTCTTGTGCCACACCTGCCAGCCTACTTCATCTTGCACTTGGGTGTTGATGGTCTACGTCTGCTGGAATGAAACTCCGCAGCAGCAGGTGACTTTTCCCAGTTTTGTTTCTGGTCTTAGTCGTCACCCAGAACAGTGCCTGATGCACCACACACTCAGTCATTACTCGTCGAATGAGTTACTTAATTGAATTAAATTGAATGTTAATTAACAGTCAGTAGTTAATGGAGGAAGATCACAGATCAAGGCAGAGATGAGTAAACTCGTGCTCCATGAGAGTCAGAACCATGAGAGGGAAGACAAGAGGTTTTCTGAAGAGCTTTCTAGGTTGAGTGTCAGTCCTTTGCGACACTCTTTTATTTCTTTAACTTAGCGAGTTCTCTGAGTTCCTCCTGTCTCCTGAAAATAATCCCTCTTTTCTTAGGCAAGGTTGAATGGGCTTTCCATTTGTTGTAAGCGGAAGTACCTTGGTTAGTGCAACCCTAATAAGCCTCGAAAAGCAAAAGAAACGTGCCCGGCCCGTGATCGGTGCTCGGTAAATGTTTTCTAACAAAGGAAAATACCCAAGCATGCCCCCTGCACTGCTTAGATCAAACCAAGTTCAATGTCTTCCTATTGTAAGGAGGGCTGAGGGCAGGAACATAAGTTGTGGGAAGGGAGGAGAAAAGGTTGTATAAGGAAGTCTGGGACTAGAGGAGAGGCAGGGCATGAATGCTGAAGCAAGAAGCGAGGGAGTAGCTGTGCTGTAGGTAAAGATGGGGTTTTGTCCGTTTGTCCTCACATATCGGTCTGGTCCACTTGCCAACATTAAGCAGATATTTGCTGATAAATGTCCTCATTTGGATGCAGTGGAAATTAACAGGGCTTGCCCTTGAAACCCCTATAGCTCCCAGAAACCCCAGTCTTTTCTTCTCTGACCACATGCTCTCCTCGAATGACCTGATTTTAGGTATATCTATTCTGGTGACAGATATTGAAACAGATCGTTGTATGTTTCCCTCCTTTCGTAACTGCTAGGGAGCAGCGAGGACAGTGTTGGTTGCATTTTCTTCATGATTCACTGGGGAAAACTGAGATGCAGACGAGCTGGGGAATTTATATGCCCAAGACCACACGGTGGAAGGAGGGTGAGAGTTTCAGACTCAGCTTTTGGCGATTCTGAAAGCAAATTCACATCATTTCTTGGGGTTTTGCTATGTCTCCTCTGCTGCCTTTCTTTATCTTTCTTCATAACTTAATTTTTATTAGGATAATTAGATGCTCTCGCTTGTAGCTGACATTCATGTCTATCAGATTACAAACCAGACCTTCACAAGAACACGAAAAAGGTTGGGTTTTTGTAGCTTTTCATTTGTGGTTCCCGGTTGTAGTTTGCTTTCAGCCAGCGGACAGCTCTCTGGAGAAGAACATTATTCGAGGATGTTCATGAGGGGGAGATGGTCACCGTCTGGTGAGAGAGCGTGGCCACACTGTTGTGTTAAATATTCCAAGTGGCACTGCTCTGAACTCCCGGGGTTATTTATAGTGGGTCTAATTATGAATGTCCTTGCCCTGAAAGGAAGCGTTTTCTCCGAGGGTGGGGGACTGGCTAACAAACCCCTGAGCTCCGACAGTGGAAGGGAGATGCCTGTTCCTCTCAGTTGGTTGGAAAAATCTTGAGTCTTCTGGTTGACTGTGGAGCACAAAGGAATATTACCTGGACATAGGGAGTTTCACTGAATGGACCCAAATTACTGTTTTTGGACTCAAGCATTAAAATTCTTATTTCAGGGGCGCCTGGGTGCCTCAGTCGGTTGAGTGTCCCACTTCGGCTCAGGTCATGATCTCACAGTTTGTGAGTCCAAGCCCCGCGTCGGGCTCTGTGCTGACAGCTCAGAGCCTGGAGCCTGCTTCCGATTCTGTGTCTCCCTCTCTCTCTGATCCTCCCCTGCTCACACACTGTCTCTCTCTCTCTCTCTCTCTGTCTCTCTCTCTCTCAAATAAATAAAGGTTAAACATTTTTTTTTAAAAATTCTCATTTCATTCTCGTGCACCCTTTGAACACATTTATGCAGGGAGCAATGATGGTCAGAGAAAATATTCATTGAAGTGCCCCAACGAGTAGGTAACCCATATTTTGGTCAGTTTTTATTAGTTTATTTCTTCAGGGCTTGTAATAATTGTGGGACATGTTTCTGAGTGTGAGGTGGGGGTGGAATAAAGAAAAATCTAGATGCAGCTCTGGTTTTGAGGTATCAGTACCTGTTACGTAACCTTTTGGGAGTTTCTTCGTTATTAAGGTGGAGGCACTGATCAGAGTACCCTCGTTGACAGAGTTAAATAGGCTCCGTTTCTGCAGAAACCCAGAGCCGAGGCTCTCATTAAATATTGGCCATTATTACACATTTGAAATTAAACCACTTGAAACTCATGCTGCCTATTTTTACAGCTTAAAATTTATTATTATAATAATTTGGGCAACCCTTTCATCTTTAGTGAGATCATAGAGGGCTTTGTTAGAAGTTGCGTTCAGGTCTTCTCATGCTTCCCATTTGGCGGTTCAGTTTGTTTCGAAGATTTGCCTGCAGATGTGGGGCTAAACACTAAGAAATTAATTGCTTTTTTTTTTTTTTTTAAATTTTTTTTTTCAACGTTTATTTATTTTTTGGGACAGAGAGAGACAGAGCATGAACGGGGGAGGGGCAGAGAGAGAGGGAGACAGAATCAGAAACAGGCTCCAGGCTCCGAGCCATCAGCCCAGAGCCTGACGCGGGGCTCGAACTCACGGACCGCGAGATCGTGACCTGGCTGCAGTCGGACGCTTAACCGACTGCGCCACCCAGGCGCCCCAGAAATTAATTGCTTTTTAAGAAATTCTAAATGTGTGCGCCACAGTGTGGGATTTGGGGGCGCTGGTTCCCGGCTACAGGCTACGTCGTTTCCTTTCTGTTCTAACCACTTGTTCTGAGTTTTACTGGAAACCTGGCTGCCTCTCCTGATTCAAGCCTCCCCTTCTCTCATTGATCTCTGCCCGAGAAGTCTGCACAAAAGCCACCAGGAGTCTTTTGACCATGGCTCTTCATTCCTCCCTTCTAGGTTTGATGAGGTCAGGTTTCAGAATGGCCGGCTCGACAGTTTTCTCCTTCTTCTGTTGATGGTATTGGATAAAGCCATGCTGTTTCAAGGGCGTTTTTGCTTCCGTCTGAGGGATGTCCTTTCTCTGCATGGTGAGGGGTGAGGCCCCAGAGCTGGGACCCCGACAGTCTGGCACCAGGATTCACGGAGTTCTGACTGGTGAATATTCAGGAAAGAAATGGATTTGTTCCCTTTGATCCAGAGCCGGCTGCCAAGGGTGCTGCTGGAAAGTGAAAGAAAATGTGGGGCTTGACAACCTGGGTATTATTAAGCATAAAGTATAATGATTGTCTCCTTAGGAATGAACTTTCTTGCTGTCGACTCCTAGTTATAAACCAAGTGAGTATTTGGCAGAAACCAAGCACAGTTGGTTTAAAAAACAAAAAAAAAAAACAACTTGAAAACACAAGAAAAGATGTCCAATTGTCGCATGCCTCCTCGAGCCATGTAATTAAATTAGACTGTGTTATTTCAGAAATACCTGGAGCGGTTCCATCTTCCAATAATAGGTATCTCCTCGTACACACGCTCGGTCTGAACTCCGAGAAGACAGGACAGCCGCCTGGTGCAGAGAGCGGCCTTTCATTCTTTCTAAACACCAGTGTGAAAGACTGGTACAGTTCCTTATTCGGAGGGAGAGACGTTTTAAAGTCAGTTGCTTACCGCAAACAGGTAATGTCTGTGAAATAATGAGATTTTATTAAGGCACGGTTTGCCTGCTCTTTCATCCTGCCGCAGAGCGATTCAAAATCCTTGTGGTTTCTGTACAGGTCTGATAAGGATGCTGACATAATTGTTCTTGGAGCAGAAAGGGCAATCTAGAGGCTTTCTTTCATTAATATTTCTCTGCAAAATGGACAGTTTGAGCAATGTGCCTAAAAACGCGGATTTGGTCTCTGGACGATATAGATGTATTTTACTTTGGCAGCTGTAATTCAAAGTCCAGTGGCAAACTTGAGGAGCAGTGTTTCTGAATTTGCCTTCTCTCTGGGAATGACGGCTTTCAAAGTTTTTATTTTATTTTAATAGGTGTTTTATGGTTTGGCAAGTGAAGATACATTTTAAGTGTATATTCCTATGCTTAGAAGTTCATGAAACTTCTGGGACACCTGGGTGGCTCAGTCAGTTAAGCGTGTGACTTTAGCTCAGGTCAGGATCTCCCGGTTCATGGGTTCAAGCCCCACATCGGGCTCTGTGCTGACAGCTCAGAGCCTGGAGCCTGCTTCGGATTCTGTGTCTCCCTCTCTCTCTGCCCCTCCCCCATTCACACTCTGTTTCTCTCTCTCAAAAATGAATGAACATTAAAAAACTTTTTAAGAATTTCGTGAAACTTCTTTCCATTTACAAATACCTGGTTGTCCCAAGAAGCTGTCAGGTCCCTTCCTTTTATAGAACCATGCGTTACGATGGCACCTGCAGCCTCTGTTGTGTATACTCCTCCGTATGGTCCAGAAAGAAATCTCGTACCCATTACCAGTCACCCCAATTTTCCCTTCTCCTCAGTCCCCTTGCAACCATGAATCTGCTTTCTGTGTCTATGGATTTGCTTCTCTGGGACATTTCATGGAAGTGGAATCATACAGTATGTGATCTTTTGCGTCGGGATTCTTCTAACTTACTATAATGTTTTCAACTTTCATTCACGTTGTAGAAACTTTATTCCTTTTGACGGCTGAATAATATTCCATCGTATGGCTAGACCACCTTTTGTTTATCAGTTGACGGACATTCATGTCGTTTCTACCTTTGGGCTATTTGTGAACATTTGCGTGCAAGCTCTCGTGTAGACATATGTTTTAATTTCTTCTGGGCATTGACTTTGCTTTTTCACCTAGCATTCTGTCTTGATTCAGGGTGAATCAGACAGATTCAGGGTGGCCACGGTCTTCTTCGCAACTGTGTGGTCATCCGTAACATCCTTGTTTGGCTTACCGGTGCCCTGATGATGGGTATTCTAGTTGTTTCCAATCCTTTGCTATCACGAATAATGCTACTTGAACACTCTTGCACACCCAGTGTTTCACACATACAACAGTTTAAAGGTAAGCTCAATTTCTACAAGTGGAATTGTTGGGTCAAAGGATATGTACCTTTTGGGGGAATATCTTGCCAAATTACCTTCATGGAAGTTGACCTCATTGCATTTCCATCTGTTAGGAAGACCCTGAGGAAACATTTCCATCTGGATCTGGTATAGAGGATGGTTGTGACTTTGCTCAGTGATTGGTTTGTTTTCATTTTATGGAGAATTGACTCATAGCTCATCAAGTCTGTACTACGTTACCACCGTTATTAAGTATATGGAATGGGGCTATGGGTTTTTATGTTAGTGTTTCATTTTTGTTCATCTCATGATATTGCAACAGCATTACTTTGGATCTTAGAACTCTCATTCAGATGGGTCGTGAGTCAACTTCAGTCCTATCTTTGGACCTCAGAGCTTTAGAAAACTGAAACTTGCCACAGAAGCTATGTGATAGGCCAGGGAAGCTTTAAATTTTGGGTGAGTTTGAGTCCTGTCCACTACAGACAGGACACCTAAGGATAGACTAATAAAATAAGAGAGAGAAGTTGCCAGCTCTGCTTCATTTCTTAATGATCCAGAGTGGGAATGCCTTTCCGCGGTCTTGTAATATTCAACAGCTTCCTACACAGCTTCTCTTTGGTCTAGAACACAAGGGAGATGAGAGTTGAGTCCTTGCCTCTACATGTCACTGTTGGAGACAAAGTCTTGGGGAAATTGGTTCCAATTAGCTTTTAGTGCCGAAGCTCTCATTTTCTTCCTATTCTTTGTAAAGGCAAAGGCATTTCTACCAAACTTTGTAGAGACAAGTTTTCAAGAAAGCAAAAAGGAGGAATTTATATGAAAGCTACTGGCTCTGCTGACAGTCATATTTATTTGTTAGGCATTCATTTATTTCTTTATTCAGTTGGGGAACTGTTTTCTTGTGTGCTCACCATGATTCAGGAATTTGAGTGATGCATGAAGTAGGCACTGCCCTTCACAGAACTTACAGTCTAGAAGAGAGAATTAAAAAAAAATTACCTTTCAGGGGTTGCCTGGGGGGCTCAGTTCATTGAGTGTCTGACTCTTGATTTCGGCTCAGGTCATGATCCCAGTGTGGTGTGGGCTAGAGCCCCTGTGTCAGGGCGTCAGGCGCCACACTCAGCTTGGGATTCTCTCTCTCTCTCTCTCTCTCTCTCTCTCTCTTTCTCTCTCCTTCTCTCCCCCATCTCTGCCCCTCTCCCCTATTCCTGCTCTCTTTCTCTCTAAAATAAAAAAAAAATAACTGTTCAGTATCATGGCAAGTCAAGGTGCTTTGGGCCTAGCCTCTGACAATTCATTTATTCAGCAATTACTTACTGAGTCCCTTCAGTGTGGCAAGCATTGTGCTGGAACTGAGGAGAAAACAATGAAGAACATAGACAAATTTACTTTCTGCTAGTGGAGGTTGCCTTCTTTTTTTTATCTAAAAACTTTGTTTTTAATACTTATTTATTTTTGAGAGAGACAGAGTGCGAGCAGGGGAGGGGCAGAGAGAGGGAGACATAGAATCCGAAGCAGGCTCCGGGCTCTGAGCCTTCAGCACAGAGCCCAACGTGGGGCTCGACCTTGGTAACTGTGAGATCATGATCTGAGCTGAAGTCCGATGGTTAACTGACTGAGCCACCCAGGCGCCTCCCACTCCCTTTTTAAAAAAAAAATTTTAATGCTTGGAGGTCGCATTCTAATAAGAGTGCCTGTCACTTATTAAAGGTTCATTATGTGCCAGGCATTGTCCCGAGATGCTTTAAATGTCATCTTAAAAGCCCAATGAGGGAGGTACTATTATAGTTACTGCATGAAGTTCAGAGAGGTTGATCACTTGCCCCAGGCCACACAGTGTGTACATTTTGGGATCAACATCGGAGCCTAGGCAAGTTGGTTTTGGAGGCTGCGCTCCTGACTTCTGTCATACATGCTTCTGTGTGTGGTCTGTGTGGATATTGGCCTGGGTGTGACGAAGGTTTCCTAGAGGAGGTGACGTGACCTAGGGCAGATAAGCCAGTTTGAAGGGTGTGAAATGGGAACCTTGTTCCCCATGGAGGCGTGACACCAGGTGTGAGAAAGAAGGGGGGACGGTTCCAGCAAAGAAGGGAGCCTGGTGGTGGGGCTATACCTCTCCTGGCAGAAAACGTCGACGTCATGTGCTCCCTTGAGACTTCGGTGCCGGGACCGTTGCTGTCCACAGCCTCAGTTGTGTTTCTTTTCCTGCTGATTAATCCTGACTGTGCCACTTTTTTTCTCTTGTTTTCCTTATCGCGGTTGCCGGTGACTTTTCTCGCCAGGCTCACATTTAGGCAAGATGCCAGCAGACTTGGGGGACTGAAGTCTGGGTGACATTTTCTCAATTTCCAGAACTAATTGCTGCCACCTGACTTAGAAAATACTTGGAAGTTTTTGAATGTCTCGCCCCGGGACTACGGGCATGTCTCAGCTTGTTGGGATCTGTGTCTACCTGACTCCAAAGTATCCTATCACACGAACAGCAGGAATGTTTGGTCATTGTGATGCTTTGTTTCCAACGTGACAAATACTTGTTTTCACTGCATTTTAAAATTCTTTGGGTATGTATGTTGCCTTATGAAACAGACCTGATTTTGATCAATTCATCCTCTTAAATCTGGGATACAGGCTTCAGTTTTGAGAATGCTTTTCTTTAGCTGATGTCATCTTTTTCTCAACTTGGACACTGTTGACATGTTGGGTGAGATAATTATTTGTCATAGGGACCTATCCTATGCACTGGAGGATGTTTAACAGCCTCTGCCCACAAGATACAGGTAACACCTCCCCAGGTGTGACAAGTAAGTATGTCCCAGACGTTGTCAAGTGTCCCCTGGAGGGCAATCTCTTGTCCCCGGTTGAGAACCACTGATCTAACCGTACCGGACTCTTGATTATCATCTACAGTCTTCTGTCATTTAGATATAGATATAGATATAGATAGATATAGATATAGATATTTTACACTTTATTTATTTATTTTGAGAGGGAGAGAGACAGAGAGACAGAGAGAGAGAGAGAGAGAGAATATGAGCAGTGGGTGGG